TCAAGCATCTAAACACACTGTCCAAAATTCCATGCTTGACATCAAGTTCACTGCATTAATAACAGAGGATCATTAGACAACAGTGAATTGGCAGCTACCTGAGCCAGATGTTTAAAACTATCCAATAAATTGATGATAATTACTGCACTATTATGAAAACAGAAACATTAACCCAAGAACTAACAGACCAGCTGAAAAATATTGAAGACAGTCTATCTCAACAGTCAAAAGAAATTCAGAAAATAAACAAAATATTGGAGAAAAAAAATGAAGTCTGTAAAAGAGATTAAAGCACATCTTTAGTGAATGAAGATATTATGAAACATAATAAAGAGACCACTGCAAACATGACCAGAATGGAGAAGAGTATAAACTCTATGGAGAAATCAATAACCCATCATCACAGCATCTCAAGAACAAACCCGCTCATGTATACAAAAACAACAAGAAGCAATATCAAAGATGCAACAAGAGAGCACATTTGTCCATCACCAGCTGAAAAAGAAAGAAGAAGAAATAGATATGCTACAATGTGAAAACCATAAATTACATCAAAAGATAACACAGCTGAAACCAAATCCGGTACAAGACATCCAGTCATACAACCCTTTTGATATTCTTACAACAGCGAAGAGTAACACCATTGCCAACCCATTCAAACAAGATGCTGCTGAAACGGAATACAAAACAGTGACTCATAAGAAAGCCACAAGACCAAGAAAAAACATGCAAACACTCATCATTGGTGACTCCATGCTTAAGAACATTGATGTAAAGGGAGTGTACAGAAATACATTTGTGAAAACTTTACGAGGACGGAAAATAAGAGACATTGATGCATACATCCAGGAAACAACTGAAGATGAGCTACAAAATGTTGTCATACATGCAGGCACAAACAATATAGCAGATAATGATACAGTGGATTCCTGTGTTGATGACTTCACCACCATGATCAACAACATAAAGAAGAAACACCCATCAGCAAAGATATGTGTCTCTTCAATAACCCATAGAAGAGGTGACAATGCAGATACATTGAACAAGAAGATAGACATCCTGAATGACAAGATGAAGATGATAACAAAAGAAGATATAATCTGCATAGATAACAATAATATCCAACATCACTTAAGTGATGATGTACATCTTAACAATCATGGAACTGCAATTTTGGTAAGAAACATGAAAAGCACCATTGCACCTCTGATTGGTGTGAATTGACATGCCAGGAGATATGACAGACTAAATTCTAGATACAACAATGAACCCAACACAAGATACCACAATGACCAGAGAACAAATCAGATCTATCAAAGACCACCATCAACATCCAATCAAACAGTGTTCACTCGAGGTCCATCCTTCCATGCCAGTAATCATTATACCTACACCAATCGGTTAAAAGCATATGATCAAAGATCACATTTCAGAACTTAAGATGTGTTACACAAGAAAACCAAAACACCATAAACAGATTGGAAAACGAGGAATCTCCATATCATATTGGAATGTACAGGGTATAAGACAAAAAATAGAAGATAATGACTTCATAAAATGCATAAAAAACCATGATATAATAGGTCTTGGGGAAACCTGGCTGAACAAGGACTCTCTGAATACACTCAACATACCAGGATACTACAGTCACTCAATAATAAGAAGTAAACAGCCAGGTGGAGGACTATCAATACTAATAAACGAACAAATCAAGAAAGGTATCAAAATTGAAGATGTAGACTCTGAAGACATGCTTTGGTGCAAGTTGAAGAAAGACTTTTTCAACTAAGAAGAGGATATCTATTTGTGCTATGTGTATCATCCACCAATGAATTCAAAACACTGCATGCCAGATTTCTTCACTAGACTAGAAAATAATATTGCAATCTATTCTCAACATGGAAACACTATTATACTAGGAGATTTTAATGAGGTATGTACGGTACCCTCTAGAAGGCATTTGAGACCAGTTTTGAGACTCTCCCACAGAGGAAGATGCCATTTGAGACCGTGTTTGAGACCGATTTAGAGACTCTCGGATGCCACATAGACCGGGAATGAGACCGTGTCTGAGACCAGCTTTAGAGACCGTCAATTCGCGCAGTCTGATTGGACATCCACATCCATAATTGTATTCTCTACTCTTTTCACCATAGATTTAGGAACAGAAAAATTGTTGACAGATTTGTTAGCTACGAGAAAATTAAGACGCTAAAAAAGAGAAAAGCAAACGTGAATACCTCATTTAGAGAATAGTTTGACGACATGCAAGACTGTATTATTATGATGTAGTGTATTCTGAAACATGAAGCTCGGAATATTTAGTAACTGTGTTGATTGTTTGTAGCAGTTGACGTAATCGTTAACAAACCCGGTATTATTCAATAAAACGGGCGCAAAATTCACCCAATTAGCCAGTTAACGGGTAGTAACAATGGTCTGTGTCCATCGATAACGATCGTATTTGAATTGCAAGTGTTTCTTTATTTGTCAATGCTAGGTTGGGGCGAGTCATGGAGCTAAAAAAAAATTTTTAGCTCCATGGGTGAGTGGGAGTACGTCATAGTTTAGAGAAAAGTTCCGCGATTTGCGTTCCTTAGTACTAAGTATCAACAGAGGTGCGTGAAACCGCAGCCACCATTGGCTGGCGGTGCCCAAAATAGTCGGCGTCCCGGCAACCAGGAGACGGCTGTTCATTTCCATTTATCTGTATCTAGTTCTTGGCCCCATTGAGCAGCAAACGAAATTACGTTTGTTGAACATTGGGTCGCATATGCACGAGTTCCTGTTTAGCGAGTTAACGTGTTTTTACGCTAATATGCCCATTTTCATTTTAACGAAACATATTACTACTGGTTTATATTTTGTGTCCATCTCTAATTTTATTTATACAAGTTAAAATGGTTAGGTTGAAGTGCTCGGGCTCGTACATCTATTTAGCCCTAAACCTCAAACCCAATACACAGCCCCTCTATCCCGGTCAAGCAACGCCAGACATTTTTTTTGTGTTTCAATCCGGGTTGCGGTTAAACAAACTTCTTGCCCACGACAGGGATAGAGAAACTCGTCACAAAACATGTACTTTATTTCTTCATATATTCTATGACTTCGTGTTTATGGTTTATCTCGGAAATGTGTGCTCTGTGTCCGAACTACATCAGTAACAACCATCGTAGTTTTCGTGTCCATTGTGGCAAATTTAACACCTCTGTGAGGTGTGACTACTTTTGAAGCCTTCTATTGTTTTTACGTAATCGGCGGCGCGTGACGCAGGAATTCTTTTTTACAGGCGTGACCACGTATTTTTACTGACGTAAAATAAAATATTTAGTATGGCTGTCTGAATTTATAACAGGAAATTATTCACACGTTCAGATGTTAACAGTGTGTGACTGTTAGTGAACAAGAGACACACTAACTCCACCATTGAACAATGAAGCAAACAATTGTCATCGAACTGTTATTGGCGAATACTAGTACATAATTTACTAACCATGGGCTTGGCCGAGCTTAGTATTCTGATTTGACTGATTATTCAACAACGGCAACTGTCAATCATTCATTAAATGTAGATACTTAGTAGTCCTAATCTTTTGTTTATGTGTATAGTTACTGATTTGAGCCCTGTAAAGTGAAATAAACAATTCATTTCCGGTGACGAGGCAGCTTGTTGGAATCCGTATTCAAGTCGGGTATACTAGTAAGCACAGTTCATTGTAAAGTGACACGGTTTATGCTGCAATGTTCAATAAATATATTCACATACATAAATTACGTTGCGTAGAGTAAATCTCTTGTCTCTTAGCGACCACATTTTACTGAACTGTATATTCAAATAATATTTATGTTGATTGTCCTTGCATTATTATTATTATTATTACTATTATTACTAATAATATTATCTTCCATAACCTCACAGGCAAGAGCATCTTGGATCGATTACCGGTTCGTAATATTTTTTTATCGTATTCACGTACGTGTTCGTGCCCATGCCTCATTTTATCATTTTGGCTAGGCTGCGCAACGACGAAAGAACATCAGCGGCGAAATTGTTTACATTTATACTGGAACTTGCTACAAAGTATCATCTAGGTTCCCACGCAATTTTGAATATGATTGATAGGTCGTTCACGGACATCAGGCAGAGAAATACGAATTGTGAAACTGCTTAAGATTTCTTTCGCAGCCACAGGTTATCCTCTATTTTTTGACAAACTAGAAAGAATTACAAACTATGCCGATCTAGTCAAACGCAAGAATGCGTAAATGTGCATTTTTATCGGATATATGCCCGAAACGCAATCACGGCAAAACTTGGTCGAGCAATATCACGACAAAATGTACTCTGTCCTTACTCATTTTGCATACGAAATTGCACGTGAATGTCTTATTGTAGTGCTTCGTTGATCCACAGTCCCTCTAGAGGGATAGAGGGACTGTGGTTGATCACTTT